TCTTTCTCTAACGAAGTGTTGGTCAATCTCAATGTGCTTCGTCCTATCATGTTGCACTAGGTTATTTGCAATGTTGATGGCAGCCTTGTTGTCACAGTACAGCCTGAGAGGACACTCGACCTTTATCCCGAGCTCACCAAGAAGGGTCCTAAGCCACAACAGTTCAGCAACACCATGAACCATAGCTCGATATTCAGCCTCTGCACTTGATCTAACAACCACATTCTGCTTTTTACTTCGCCATTTAACCAGATTTCCTCCAACAAACGTGCAATACCCAGAAGTAGACTTCCTGTCTCCAACAGAGCCAACCCAGACTGCATCAGTATACGCTTCAATTTCAATTTTATTGTGTTTTTTGAACAGAATTCCTTTTCCTGGGCAAGTCTTCAAGTACCTAAGAATTCTTTCCACTGCTCTCATATGAGGAATCTTTGGAGAGTGCATGAACTGGCTGACAACATGTACAACATAAGCAATATCTGGTCGAGTGAGAGACTAATATATCAACTTCCCTACCAGTTTTTGGTATCTTTCTTTATCAAGGTAGTCCTCTCCAACTGATTCCTATAGACCATGGTTCTGTTCTATTGGAGTATCTACTGGTCTACACCCCACCATACTTGTCTCCCCTAGAAGGTCTAGGACATACATCCGCTGACATATATAGATGCCCTCTTGTGACCTAGCAACTTCAATTCCAAGGAAGTATCTCAGATGGCCCAAGTCTTTRATSTCAAACTCAGAAGCCAAGAACTCCTTTAATCTTTTTATCTCTTCCAAATCGTCCCCTGTAATCACCATATCATCCACATAGACGATTAGTACCGTAAGTCGGCTATTCTGTTTCCTTATGAACAAAGCATGATCTGCACCACTTTAAGTGTATCCCACTCTCTTCATGGCCCCACAAAGTCTATCAAACCAAGCCCGAGGAGACTGCTTAAGGCCATATAATGTTTTCCTCAGTTTACATACTTTCCCATCAAAACCATAACCTGGTGGAGGATCCATGAATACCTCTTCACGTAGATCACCATTTAGAAAAGCGTTCTTCACATCCAACTGATGTAGCTCTCATGAGAAATTTGTAGCTAATAACAATAAGACCTGGATTGTGTTGAGCTTTGCGACTGGAGCAAAGGTTTCCTTGTAGTCAATCCCTTCCTTTTGAGTAAACCCCTTTGCCACAAGTCTGGCCTTATATCTTTCAATGGACCCGTCTTCCCTTTGCTTTACAGTGAACACCCACTTGCATCCCACAGTGCTCTTCCCTTCTGGTAGATCCACTAATTCCCAAGTCCTTGCTTTCATTTCTTCATTCATAGCCTTTTTTCATCTTGGATCAGACACTGCCTTTGAGTACCTAGTAGGAACATGCACGGAGGAGAGAGCAGACACAAAGGAATAATAACGAGGAGATAAACGTGAGTAAGAAACAAATTCAGC